CCTGTGGCTACACGGTTGTCTAGGTCTTAGTGGCTGGAGGACTCCTGAAGGCCTCAGGTGTAGTCGGGTTCCAGTCTAGTACCCCAGGTCGCTGGGCCGGCCTTTTCCTGCCTGCGCAGCTGCCCTGTGACCTCAGGGCCGGATTCTTTCTACCGGACTGGGGAACAGGGCTCGCCTTTGCAAAGGTAGCCTCTTGATGTGTTTGTTGAGGGAAGCCTGAAAGATGGAAAGATTTAGTGTTAGGGCAAGTTGAGTGGGAGTGTGTGTGTGTGTGTACAGATTTAAGGTTTGATTTCGAAAGAGATCAGTTAATTCTATCCTCACCGGTCTTGGTTAAAAAGATGGTGTGGCTCACCAAGGAGAGATCCTTCTGCATTTTTTGAGACAGTCTCACTGTGTAGTCCAGGCTGGCTTTGAACTCGCCGCAATCCTCCTGCCTCAGCTTCCTGAGTGCTGCTGGTATCAGAGGCATGCACCACCAGGCCCGGCTATAGTGAATCAGTTTTGTTTGTTTTGAGAATAGGGTTCTGCTATGCAGTTCAGGCTGGCCTTGAACTTGGCCGAGATCCTCCTGCCTTAGCCTCCTGGGTGTTGGGATTACTGGTGTGCAGCACCACACCTGACTCCTGGTAGATCTTTTATTCTTTTTCCCTCCTGGCCTTGAGGGTAGCAGCTGACTTAATGTATCTGAATTCTTGGGGAAGTAGGCTTTGGCCTGCTTGCTTGTTCAGCTCCCAGGAGGTTTGGCCTGTGCTCTGGAGTTTTCCAAAACACTTCTGTAGGAATGTGACTTTGGCTCTGCCAGTCCAGCTGTCATCAGAGGGTGTCCCCAGCGGCAGACAGTTTAGTTCCCTTGTGTGCTCCTCCGTCCACCCTGTGACATCAGCCCACCGGCCCTGGGCTTTATCTGGAGTCATCAGGGCAGGGCGTTCATCAGAAAGTGCTTGCTGGCTGAGTGTGGTCTGAAAGCAGAGTTGTCGTGAGTGTTCCCGTTCCATTCCCTCGAAGTCCTGTCCTAACAGCCTGGGTGCTCTGGGATGCAGGCCTTGCCTTCCTGTTTCCCTGCACTGAGAAGCCACTGTGGCTGTCGCCTTCAGGTGGACATTATGGACATCTGTGAGTCCATCCTGGAGAGGAAGCGGCACGACAGCGAGAGGTCTGCATGTAGCATCTTGGAGCAGATGGACATTGAAGCTGTCGAGGCTCTTGTGTGCATGAGCTCCTGGGGTCAGAGAGCACAGAAAGGTGACCGGTTGAAGATAAGACCCCTCACGCCCGTCTCTGACTCTGGGGATGTGCCCGCCCCTGTGCTTGTGGACGCCGCGCCCGAGCTACCAAAGGACTTGCATTCTTTCTCAACCCTGGTAAGGAGCAGAGGGGAGTGTTTCTGCGAGTGGCTGAGGAAACATAGAAATGCTCTGAAGGCCGCGTGCGTTAGGTTCACAGGACTCTTCCTTGTGGGTCCCAGCAGTTGAAAACTCTTCCTTCCTCTCTGGAAAACGTGGTCCTGCTGTAGGCGGGGCTTCGCTTGCTAAGGCGAAGTTAGCAGCAGCGGGGTGGACGTACAGACAGACACCAGGAAGTGAAAGTTACTTCTTCCCGGGGAGTCTTGGGTGGGCCACCGAGCAGGGCCCGGCTCGGGACAAGGGGGGACTTTGCTGTGTCATGATGCTGGCACCTCTGCCTTTCCGTGGAAGCTGGTAGCAGGCAGTAAATCCCTTGTTTAACTTGCTACAGCTGTGAAGTTGCCGCTCATGCTGGAGAAGCTGCCCACGAGTGACAGTTGGGGTGTGACTGACCTGGGCTGGGGACGTACCTGGTAGAAATATGTGGTGTCTTGGCCTCCCTTCTTCCCCAGGGGACCATTGGAGACAGGGTGGAGGGGCGTGGAGCAGGCAGAGCCACTGATTCAAGTCTGCTAGAAGTGGGCGGCAGGTGCTGGAGAGCAGTCTTAGGAGCTGCTGGCAGGTGGGGCTGGCTCGGACCGGTCTCTTCTAGTTGTGTCTCTAGAGGCATCAGAGGCAAGGCGATCAAATAAATGCCTTTAAAGTTTAACCCAAATGGCCTACCGCTTGGCTTATCTCACGGTGCCTTGTTTTTCCAGTGCATAACCCCTCCTCAGAGCCCGGATCTCCTGGAGCCACCACCAGGGGCACCGGTTCCTCTCCGGGGGACCCATTCCAAAGCATGCTTGTACGTGGCCCCCGTCCTGGCAGCCAGAGTGCCGGGTAGGAGGGCAGAGCGAGGCCCGCCAGGACTGAAGCCCGAGGTGCTGGAGCCGGCTCCCGGCCACTCCTGCAGGGCCGTGGTGACAAGTGTGATCCGCCACACTGGGGAGAGTCCTCCTGCTGGCTCCCCAGCCTTGCAGGCCCAGGAAGGATGGCCAGCCAAGATCAGAGGGGGAGAGGCACGGTTTCCGGGCCTGTTGGATGCCCCGCAGGATGTGCGCCTCCAGGACAGTTTCCTCCTCGCCGGCTCGGCTTCCTGCCAGCCTCGCTCACACGAGTCCGGTGGCCCTCTCGCCATGGACAAAGGCCAGCAGCCAGGGTGGCCTGCTGCCCTGCAGGCCTGCTCACCAAAGAGTCCAGATAGTGACCTGCCGAGGAAGAGCAGTTCCCGGCCTGCCCCTCTGATCTCCGTCCCTGTCTCCAGTCCCCCTGTCCTCTGCCAAATGATCCCCGTGCCTGGGCAGGGCGGAGTGTTGCCAGCTTTTCTGAAGACCCCTCAGCTGCTGTCTTCTGGGCCTGGGAAGCCCATCCTGTCCCAGGCCGTGCCTTCGCCTCAGCCTGTGTTTGTGGGCCCACCCATGCCCGTGCCTCAGGGAGCTGTGATGCTTGTTCTGCCGCAGGCCCCCCTTCCCCCGCCTGCCAGCTGCCCTCCTGGTGTCGTGGCTGTGGGCAGCACCAAGCTGCTGCCCCTCGCCCCTGCGCCCGTGTTCATTGCCTCCAGCCAAAGCTGCGCCCCTCAGGTTGACTTCTCCCGGAGGAGGAACTACATGTGTGACTTCCCGGGCTGCCGGAAAACCTACTTCAAGAGCTCCCACCTCAAGGCTCACCTGCGCACTCACACAGGTAGGTGTGGTGAGGTCCTGTGCCATGGCCCCGCTGCAGTGCCCAGGGTGTGGTGGCGCTGGGGCTAGGCCCCAGGCATCTGGCGGGTGACAGCGTCCATATGTCCTCACTCTGCCGAGGTGTTGGCGTTGCATTTTAAAATTGTGTGTTCACGGTCAGTAAAGGCATCAGTGTGGCTCCAGGGCAAGTTTTCCAAACGAGGAAGACTATGATTCCAGGGTGTGGAGAGGACGAGTGGGGCCTTTGTTCACAAACTTCTTTCCACAATTCTGGTTGCAAACCAAGTTGGACGAGAACCGAATCAAATTCAGTGCTTAGATTCATTGTTGACTTTATGGGGAAATTTGGTTGGGTTCTCATCCAGTTTGGTTTGTGACCAGAATGGTAGACAGAACTGAGTGTGTGAATCCTGGGTATCACTGTAGTTTTTCTGTTTGTTTTTTTGTCGGTGGTGGTGGGTTTTTTTGACAATATAGAATCCTGAATTTGGACAGGGTCACACAGGAAGCTGTGAGGACCTAGCAGTCTCCTCATCCTCTACCGTGGAGATTGCCTGTGTCCATTATTATTACTTCTTTTTTTTTTTTTGGCACGGGGATCGAACTCAGGTCCTTGCACTTGAAAGGCAGGCGGCGGAACCACCGAGTTATTGTGAGGGAGGTGCCCTGTCCTTGGGACAGAGTTGATGGGTGAGGGACGGAATTGCGAGTTTGTGGTAGTGGAGCTTACCTCCAGACAGCTGGTGGATGGGTTTTCTAGTGGGGTCGGGCAGGTCTGGGCTGCCTGTCTTGGGTGTTCCGGGTGGGTCTCAGCGCAGGAGCAGGTGCCTAGGTCTGGGTCCACACAGACACTTGGCCATAGAGCGCTGTGGCAGGGCATGCACTGTGCTGGGCTGTGTGGGGAGTGGCTGTGGGCCCGGGCCTGTGAAGTGCTTGCTCCATCCGGGCGCACACCTCCTTGCGCTCTGTCCGGCTCTGAGTTTCTGCCCACAACCCCATACTCACCTTGGTTCACAAACTGTCTGTCCATACGCAGCACCCCGTTGGCTTCCCCAGATCACCTCCCAGCTATTCCGGGCCTTCCTTCTCTGACACTGGGGCTTATTGTGTGTCTCCCCACCACCACTCTTTGTTTCTTAATTACTTTTTTTTGTACTGGGGATTGAACTCAGGACCTTGCACTTGCCAGGCAGTCACAGCACCACTGAGCTACATCCCCAGCTCTTGTTTCTTTTTTTTGTTGTTGTTGTGTTTTTTTTTGAGGCAGGGTCTCACTATGTAGTTGAGACTGACCTGGAACTCACTATGTAGCCCAGGCCGGTCTCGATCTCACAGCGATCCTCCTGCCTCAGCCTCCCAAGTGCTGGAATTACAGGCGTGCGCCACCACACCCTGCTTCTTGTTTCTTCATTACTATTATTTTTGGGTTTTTGTTTCTTTAGAGTAGGAAAATTTGAGAGAAAAATAGCTTCTGTCTAAGAGAGACAGAAGGGGGACTGGAAAGTGATTGTTCCGGGTGGGTCTCAGCGCAGGAGCAGGTGCCTAGGTCTGGGTCCACACAGACACTTGGCCGTAGAGCGCTGTGGCAGGGCGTGCACTGTGCTGGGCTGTGTGGGGAGTGGCTGTGGGCCCGGGCCTGTGAAGTGCTTGCTCCATCCGGGCGCACACCTCCTTGCGCTCTGTCCGGCTCTGAGTTTCTGCCCACAACCCCATACTCACCTTGGTTCACAAACTGTCTGTCCATACGCAGCACCCCGTTGGCTTCCCCAGATCACCTCCCAGCTATTCCGGGCCTTCCTTCTCTGACACTGGGGCTTATTGTGTGTCTCCCCACCACCACTCTTTGTTTCTTAATTACTTTTTTTTGTACTGGGGATTGAACTCAGGACCTTGCACTTGCCAGGCAGTCACAGCACCACTGAGCTACATCCCCAGCTCTTGTTTCTTTTTTTTGTTGTTGTTGTGTTTTTTTTTGAGGCAGGGTCTCACTATGTAGTTGAGACTGACCTGGAACTCACTATGTAGCCCAGGCCGGTCTCGATCTCACAGCGATCCTCCTGCCTCAGCCTCCCAAGTGCTGGAATTACAGGCGTGCGCCACCACACCCTGCTTCTTGTTTCTTCATTACTATTATTTTTGGGTTTTTGTTTCTTTAGAGTAGGAAAATTTGAGAGAAAAATAGCTTCTGTCTAAGAGAGACAGAAGGGGGACTGGAAAGTGAGTTGCCTGCCCACCCCACTTTTCAAAGATGTTTTATACAGCAAAGCCATGTGGTGAGGTGGGTACAAAGTGGGACAAAACTATAAGACCCAGTGGAAGACTACAAGGTGGGCATGATGTGGGGCATGTTTTCAGGGTTTTTTTTTTGGTACCACGGATCAGACTCAGGACCCTGTGCTTTTGGGGCAGGTGGTAGAACCACTGAGCTAAATCCCTGGCCCAGTGTTTTCAGGTTTTTTGAGGTAGCTAGCCTTTGTGAGAGCTAGCCTTGAACTAAGCAGTATTTCTGCCTCAGCCTCCCAAGTACCTGGATCACAGGCATGCAGCACTGTGCCTGCTCTTGGTTACTTTTGTGCCAGGCTGTCTCACTGGGTGTGAGTTCTCGGTGTTTGGCATCAGCTGACCCAGTCGGTGATGGGTGGCCCTTTAGTAAGGTGGTACAGGTGCCATGGTGAAGGTGTTGCAGAGGAATGCGCCGGTCTTGGCCTGGGTGCGTGGGGCGTCTGCCAGGTGGATTGCACACGTGGCGGTGATGGTGCCCGCTCCCTGTCCCTCCCCCACTGCCCTTGGTGGGGAAGCTACCGGCGGGGTGGGCATCAGCAGGTTCCAGGCTTGCTTCCCAAAGCCCTTCAGTGTCTGAGGAGGCCCCATGTCAGGCCCTTTGTTGCCCTTTACTGGCATTGCCATGCACATCGAAACTCAGTGTGAGGCTGTGTGGATGAGATCACTTGTGATGGTTTCTGCCAACCCAAGAAGCCCTGAAATTGACGGAGGGTGGAGCAGAGGCGCTGCACTGCAGCGGGGCCTGTCGGGCTCCAGCCTGCTGCCTACAGTGCAAGGCGGTAGGTTGTGTGGAAACAGGCGAAGGTGCCGGAGGGCAGCGCTCGCCTTCCTCACAGCGCTCCTGCTGTCGCCTGGCCCCACAATGGGCTGTCCATGCGGCCGCGTGGAGCCCGCCCTCTGCACTGGGTCCCGCCTCAGGCCCAGCTCAGATCCTGCTCGTTTCCAACACGTGGGGTCTGGGACAGACACGTCCAGCCAGAGTGGCAACGTTGTGCTGCCCACAGCGGGGTCTCGGAGACCCAGGGAGCCTGCAGCCCTGCTGCAGCCCAGCGGCCTGTTGTTACTCAGCTGGAACCTGGCAGAGCTGGAGTCTGGAGCACTCAGCACTGCACGGCCTCCTGCTCTGCAGGAAGCGCTGCACAGAGATGGATGCACAGGGAGTCAGGGCCCAGAGCAGTGCGTGGCCCCAGGGCTTCAGGGTGCAGGGAGCAGTGGCTCCTGTGGCTGCCGCTGGAAAGGCCCTGGAGGGTCCCGGAGGCGCCTGGTAGGTGCTGGGTAATTTGAAGCTCCCAGCAGTAAGACATCTGTTAGGATTCTGAGCTGTTTGTGGGTGTAAGAAGAAAGAAGGCTGAGAAGCCTGAAGGGTCCTGATGTGCAGGTGCCTTCTGAGCGGGAAGGAATTACTCCTTTTTAAGATTCTTCCCCCTAGACAGGCGTGATGCATCCCTATAATCGCAGCACTCAGGAGGCTGAGGCAGGAGGATGGGTGTGAGTTTGACGCTAGCCTGGGCAACATAGTTCAAGTCCAGCCTGAATTGCACAGTAAAATCCTATCTCAGACCAAGTGTTTAAAAATTATTTCTCCCATTCCAAACTATAACTGTATTTTTACTTTTAAAAACTATGCGTGTGCAAAACTGGGAATCAAAGAGAGGGTCTTTGCAGTGAATGACATCTCCAAACCTTTCCTGAAATTATTTTTTTTTTTTGAGACAAGTCTTGTAAATTACACAGTCTCAGATTCGAGTTGTGATCTTCCTGCCTCAGCCTCCCAGAATGCTGGTATTACAGATATGAGCCATTGTACCTGGTCTAAAAGTTCTTTTTTGTTTGTTTTGTTTTGTTTTGTTTCATTTTTTGAGACAGGGTCTTGGTTATGTAGCTCAGGCTGGCCTCGAACCTGCAGCAATCCTTCTGCCTCAGTCTCCTGAATGCTGGAATCCCAGGTGTGCACCACCTAAAGATTAGGTTAGTTTGATTTAGATCCCTGGCATATTATATTGTAGGTGTGGTAAGAAGAAATGCATGTTGCATGATTTCTTGACTTCAGAATCACCCAGTAGCAGAATAGGATATTACTTCCTTCCTTTGGGGTTTTGGTGAAACAGTTTTTAAACGACTTGAACTCAGCCCCTCGGCGCCGAGCTGAGCATGCTTCCTTACTGTGCCGCTTTCTCGCCCCCTAGGGGAGAAGCCTTTCAACTGCAGCTGGGACGGCTGCGAGAAGAAGTTCGCCCGCTCCGACGAACTGTCGCGTCACC